ATAATTTTTAAGTTCTCTCTTCTGGATTATTTTTCCAAGTCAGTTGTTTTTCCAATGAGATATTTCACATTCTCTTCTATTTTTTCATTCCTTTGGATTAGTGTTACAATGCCCTGATTTCTCAAATTGTCCCTATCTTCCAATTTCTCCATTCTAATTTTTAAGGAAAGTATTTTCTTTAGTAAGCTTTTGGACTTCCTTTTCCATTTGGCCAATTTTGCTTTTCAGGGCATTCTTCTCCCTCATTAGCTTTTTGGACCTCTTTTGCCATTTGAGTTAGGCTATTTTTTAAGATGCTATTTTCTTCAGTATTTTTTTGGGTCTCCTTTAGCATCCCTCTCAGTTTTTCCTCTACTCCTCTTACTTGCTTTTCAAAATCCTTTTTGAGCTCTTCCATGGCCTGGGATTGATTCATATTTTTCTTGGAGGCTTTGGATGTAGGAACTTTGGTTTCGTTGTCTTCTTCTGGTTGTATGTTTTGATCTTCTTTGTCATCAAAGATAATATAGTCTGACTCTTTTTGTGCTGCTTGCTCATGATCCCAGCCAATTACTTGAGTTATAGACTCTGTTAAGGTAGGAGTCTGTTTCTAGTGTGGAGAATGTACTGTCCCAAGCTTCAGGGGTTTTGTGCAGCTGTTTTCAGAGATATTTCTAGGGACCTGTTAATTTTCAGTTCTTCCAAGGTGCTATGATCAAGGGCGAGCTGTTTACTCCTTTCCTGGTCTGTGCTCTGGTCTATGAGCACTCTTTTCTGTCTTGGAACTGTGAGGAGGGTTTCTTCTCCACAGTCACTACAAGCTCCACCACGCCAGTGCTCCTCCTCACCCCAGGACCACCACCCAGAACCATGACCCAGATGCATGCATGGGCAAAGTAAGAGAATCCTGCACCAGCAAAGAGATCCCTGCAATCCCTCTCTGATCAGCTACTTGATTCCCCCTCAGTTTGTGGGCCAGAAGCTCAGGGGGCAGCTGCTGCCCTGGGCCGAGCTCAGGACTGTAGCTGAGACCACCGGCTTCTCTCTCTCACGGCAGACACACTTTTCCCACTGATTTTCTAAGTTGTCTTTGGCGTTCATGGGTTGAGAAGTCTGGAAACCACCACAGCTGCCCATGATTCAGTCTTCTGAGGCCTGCTCCAGGGTTACTGCGGCCTGCGTGCCCACGCCAAACTGTGCTCCTCTTCACGCCCAGCATGATATACCTTTCCAATCAACCATCCAGGCTGTCTTGGGCTGGAAATTTGTTTCACTCTGTCTTTTTGTGGGTTCTGCTGCTTTAGAATTTGTCTAGAGCCATTTTTTATAGGTATTTGGAAGGGTTTGTGGGAGAGCTCAAGCAAGTCACTGCTTTTACTCTGTCATCTTGGCTCCGCCCCCCAGAATGTATCTTTTCATGATTTTCTTGAATCACTCTTATTTCTCTTCCCAATTTTTCCTCTACCTCCCTTATCTGATTTTCAAAATCCTTTTTGGGCTCTTCCATGGCCTGAGACCAATTCATATTTTTCTTGGAGACCTTGGATGTAAGAGCTTTGACTTTGTTTTCTTCTTCTGAGTGTGTTTTGATCTTCCTTGTCACCATAGTAACTTTCAATAGTCAAGAGTTTTGGGTTTTTTGTTTTTCTTTTTCTGTTGTTGGATCATTTTCTGAGCTAATTACTTGACTTTTAACTGTTTGTTAAAGTAGGGCTCTGCTTCCACGGTGGAAGGTACACTGTCCCAAGCTACAGGGGTTTTGTGCAACTGTTGTCAGAGATACTTCTAGGGACCTGTAAGTTTTCAGTTCTTCCAAGGTGTTATGATCTAAGGAGAGGTGTTTGCTACTCTCTTGGCCTGTGCTCTGGTTTGTCAGCAACCATAAGCACTCTTTTCTGCCCTGGAACTGTGAGGAGGGTTTCCTCTTCACTGTGGCCACAAGTTCTTGTGTGTTAGTACTCCTCCTCACTCTGGGACTTTAAGTCAGAACTGTGACTCAGATCCAAGTATGGGCAAAGCAACAGAGTCCTGCCCCAATGCTAGCAAAAAGACCCCTGTAATCTCCTTCTGACCCGTTTTTTGACCCCCTTACCATCTGTGGGATGAGAGCTCTGGAAGCAGCCACTGCTGCTGCCACGGCTCATTCCCAATGCCTGCTCCTGGTTTGCTGGGGCTTCAGCTGTGCTGGTGAATGCTGCCCTAGACTGCACTCCACTCTCAACCAGGTGTGACAGACCTTTCCTGCTGACCTTCCAAGTTGTCTTTGGCTTCTGTAGGATGGGAGAGGTCTGGAAACTGCCACTGCTGCCACTGATTCAGTTGTCCCAAGGCCTGCTCTGGGTTTGCTGAGGTCCAGTCTATGCTAGTGTGGCCTGCACTAGACTGCGCTCCTCATTCACTCTGGTACAACAGACTTTTTCTGTCGACCTTCCACGTTGTTTTAGATCAGAAATTTGTTTCACTCCATCTTTTTTTGTGGGTTCTGCTACTCTAGAATTTGTTTAGAGTCATTTTTTAAAGGTATTTGGAGAGGTTGGGAGAGAGCTCAGGAATAATCCCTGCCATTACTCCACCATCTTGGCTCCGCCTCCTGGCCTTTTACTGAATATGATTATTATTTTATTTTGTTTAGTGAAGGATGTATTCACAATTTCTGCTTTTCTACAGCTGTTTAGTGATTTTTATGATGTAAGATTACAGACTGCCAATTTTTGTAATGGTGCCATATAATTCTTAGATTTATCTATACCTCCTTTCTTTTTCCATTCATTAAATGTTAGAGATCTATCAAACCTAACTTTTCTAAAATTCTCTTTAGGCCCTTAACTTCTATTATTTTTTATTTATTTATTGTTAGTTACTTTACCAATACAAATTACTAACTCCCATCAACAGGACAAGAAATCTGAGGCAATACGTCACCTGGAGTGAGAGACAGGGATCACACAAGCCAGGCTAGTCAAACCACTGTTATTACTTCAGCCACTAACTCTCTCATATCCTGATGGAGACAATCTTAATTTAGTTGTACCCTAATTTAATCTAATTTAATTGTACCCTCAAACCATGAGATCTTTCTATATCACTCACAGCTAAAATCTCCTACATATGTTGGCTCTCCCTATTTGAATATAAGCTTCTTGAGTACAAAGACTTTCTGTTTCTTACCTGTATGCTCAGCACTTGGACCAACATATAGTACATAGTAAATACTTAACTTTTTTCATTCCATCATTTCTTCATTTATATATACAGTTGAGGTCCCAAATTCCTATAGCTTGTTTCCCTCCACCCTCTTTTATACTTTTTAGTTTCTTTGGTGAGAAGGGATAGTGCTCAGCACTAGTGATCTCTACTTGAAATCTGCTTTCCACTTGCCCGCCCTTCCTCCCTTAAAGTCACAAGCTCCCTTATTAAAAAGTTTTTAAGTTTTCTTTCATTTTAAACTTTTCAAGATTCATCATGACTGATTCCTCCTTGAATCTACCCTTCCTCTCATTCCCCACCCCTTCCCTGAGTTTTCTTCTGTTTCTTTGTTGAGTTGAATGTATTTCATTATTGGGGGGGGGTGTGTGTGTGTGTGTGTGTGTGTGTGTGTGTGTGTGTGTGTGTGTG